GAGCCCGACGCGGGGCTCGAACTCACGGACCGCGAGATCATGACCTGGCTGAAGTCGGACGCTTAACCGACTGCGCCACCCAGGCGCCCCTGTGCCTGGCTTTTTATATGGACTTGGACTGCCTGCTCACTCCCACGGAAATGTGTCTGTGAGCTCAGAATCCAGTGCTCTGAGCCTGGTTCCTGGCCGGGCAGTGGGCGCTGTTGTTGGAAAGACGAAGTGCCGTGACGAGCGTGGGGCCCCTGGAGGCCTGTGTGGGGCGGGGAATGCCGCACGTGGCCTTGGCCTGCCCAGCTGGGCACGTCACCAGCCCCCAGTCCGAAGTGGGACTCTGCTTCCTACCAGCGGATCGAGAGTTTCTTTGTTCGCCAAATGGCCAAACCTACTTCCTGCAGTTGTCGGCAGGATTAAGGGAGAAGAGTGAAGGAACTCAGAATTTGAGGTACTGAGCAAGTGGGCAGCGTTGGGTCGGGGTCCGCTGTTCCCACGTCCGCGTGCTGAGAGCGGTGTGGGGGCAGCAGGCCTCTCTGATTGCTCGCCTTGATGTGAGGCCCGGCTGGGCGAGCGTTCACCTCGACAAGGCCTCTCTTGCGTTGTGAGCCTCGGTGTGGGTTTGCACACCCACAGGCAGCCATGCTCGGGGGCCCAGAGATCTGCCACCCGGTGATGGCACAGCCTTAGGACCGGAGTGGGGTGTGCCGGAGTGACCGTTTCCCCTTCCGAGCGTTCGTAGTTTCTGCTTATGCCGACTGCGGCCTCTGGTGACCTCTGCACTGGTTTTGCGGATGTTTTCCATCCCTGTGTTTCCATTCGCTTGTGTGTTTTCCTTGTGAGCTGAGTTGGCATGGGGTCCTTACAGCTGGGGCACAGTGGATGGCCGTCTCCGGAGAGGAGGGCATGGGTCACGAAGGAAGGAAGCTTCCGGAAGGCAGGTCACCATGCCACCTGTGAAAGTAACTATCCTTTTGGTAGGATTTCATACTCATTTAATCACAGATCCAGGTGACGTTGGGGGCCAGTTGTGTTCAGATCTTCCCATTGCACAGCCATTACGTTACAACTCCTGTGAACTGGTCTGCGGAGGGATCCTTTCCTGGGAGGGATCGCCCTAGGGGAGGCTTCTCCCTCAGGGAGGAAGGCTCTGGAGCAGGGGTTGGCAGACTTTTATCTGTCTGGGGCCAAGGGTGGCACTACGGAACTCTGGCATTGTGCAAAAGCAGCCACAGACCATACTAAGCAATGGACACAACAATGTACCAATAAAACTTTATTTGCAAGGACGGGCACAGACAGCTTGCCAATAGTTCACCGACCCCGGGCCTGATGCCCAACCTCTTCCGGTTAAAGACCATCACTGAGGTGCCTGGGTGGTTCAGTGGGATAAGCATCCGACTCTGGATTTTGGCTCAGGTCACGATCTCATGGTTTGTGAGATTGAGCCCCATGAGGGGCTCCGCACTCAGTGTGGAGATTCTCTCCCTCTCTGCCCCTTCCCCCGTGCACGTGCGGGCGTGCTCTCTCTCTCTCGCTCTCTTTCAAATAAATACAATTTAAAGAACATCACTAACCCCAGCTTCTGCCAGTCTAAGTTGTCTATTCCAGCATGTTTCAAGGCTCTCCTGTTAGTGGCGGGACCTGGCTGGTGACGAAGGGGTGGGAGGGAGATTTACTCACCATTTGAGGGCATTGCACACACCTGGTGCTCGGTTCCGCCTCTCGCCACTCCTCTCTGACCACCTTTAGCAGGTGTCTACATGAAGCCATTCTGAAATCTCCAGGTCCCTCTCAGAAAGCCTCCCCCCCCCACCCCCCCCGCCCTGGAATCCAACTTACTCTTTGTCTTTCTTTCTGAAGGAAATTTCCAGAACTCTTTGCACAGTTCAAGTCCTTCCTGGGGGTAAAGGAGCTGTCATTCGCCCCGCCCATGAGCGACAGATCCGGGGATGGAATCAGCCGGGAAATTGACTACGCGTCTTGCAAACGCATTGGATCCAGCTACCGAGCGCTCCCCAAAACCTACCAGCAGCCCAAGTGCAGTGGGAGGACGGCCATCTGCAAGGAGGTAGTGCCACAGTAACAGCCATCACCCCCATGCTTTACAGAAAAGAACTGAGTGTTGACCCCCTAAATACCGAATGATGGATGGTGCTGGGGTGTGGCCAGACAAAATGCCTGCACTGAGAGGATGGTTTCTTCTCCTGCTGGTGGTTTTGGCACACCGTGGAACAGACGATGCTGGCGTAGGCTTTGGCGTGTTCTTCTGTCGTTTAGACTTAATGTTTCTTTCCTGCCGTCAGCCTGCTCTGTCCCAGGTTCGCTGTGCTTGGTATGTTCCATTTAGCTTGACCATTGAGTACTTTTTCAGGGTTAGTAGACAAGAGTGTTCCTCTGTTTCCATAATTCAAGAGTGCTTGCTGGATTTCAGGATATGTAGCCCAGGAGTCAGTAAACTAAAATCCACAGGCCCATGCCTGTGTTTGTAAATAAAGTTTTGTTGGCACATAGACCTGCCCGTTCATTTACATAGCGCCTGTGACTGCCATTAGCAGGACAGAGGCCGAGTTGAGTAGTCCTGACAGACGGGGTGGCCTGCCAAACCCAAAATGTTTCGTATCTGGCCCTTTACAGAGAACATTTGCCAACCCCTGCAATAATACGATTTGTTTACTTGACCAAAGCCACGTTTTCTCTTAAAATCACTTTCAAATTAGTGTTGCCATTTGTATGATAAAGTGGTTTTCCTGTGAAATCAGGATTCCATTTCTCCATTATCTTTTACCCTGGACGACGTAGTAAACCGTCCTGGCCGCCGAGGCCTGCCGCACTGGGCACACAGCGTTTCCTCTCGGTGCAGGTGCTGAATGACACCTGGGTCTCCTTCCCCTCCTGGTCAGAGGACTCCACTTTCGTCAGTTCCAAGAAGACCCCCTACGAGGAGCAGCTGCACCGCTGTGAGGACGAGCGTTTCGAGGTGTGTGTGCTGGCACCCCGGGGCCCTGGGTCCTGGCCGGGGTCAGGGAGGCGCGGGGTGGCGCCTTCCTCCCCAGCTCCGCTTTAGTCTGTCCTCCTCCCTCTCCAACCTGGGAGGCGTCATGATCCTCCCCACCCTCCTTCCGAGTAGCAGGGATTCCAGCGCTTTCCAGCAGGGGGCAGCACCTGAAGGTGTCCTTTTTCTGCCCCGTCGGCCTTCCCGCCGGTTAGGAAATGTTACCGTTCCTTTAAATTTTAAATACATGCTTATTTGAATTGAATTAATTAACTCTAATTTCTTTCATTGAAATGCTTGTTGAGATCGTTGTGTATTTACGTGCAGCAAGCGATCCGGATACCCTCCTCCCAGTGGTCGCCGCTTATAAAATCTCTGGCACAGCGTCACAGCCAGGAGGTTGACACTGGCACACCCGGAGGCCTCATTCCCGTCCCCACCGTTGAACCTGTATTTGTGTGTGTGCGCACGCGTACGTGGGCACGTGTGTTTAGCTCCGGGTGGGGGTCTCCCCCGTGGAGGTTCCCGTATTCCCGCCACCGCTGAGATACTCCGCTGCTCCCCCTCCGCCGCCATCTGTCGCGCTGCTCTCTATGGCCCTGCCCGCCTCCTTCCCCCACCCTGTGCTTGCCCTCTGGCAACCACTGACCTGTCTTCCAGCTCTGGCACTTTTTCCTAAGGGGAATCACCCAGGGTGTGACCTTTGGGGACTGGCTCCCCGTCAGCACGTGCCCCGGAGAGTCATGCGGGGGGGCTGCGTACGCAGTGAGTCCTTCCTTTTTATTGCCTGTGATGCCCCTGAAGGGGGTCAGCCTGGGAACTGCTTCCCTCTTCTCATGAGTCCACCCGTGTTCTAGCCGCGGGATGTTCACGCGGTGGTAAGAGGCCCACGAGTCCTGTTCCGTGAGCACCTGGCTCTCACCATTGCCGGGGTCGCGCCCCAGCCGCGTGACCCGCTGTGCGTGCTCCGGGCCCCTGGAGCTGCGTCAGCGCTGCCGCTTCCTGGTTTTCGTCATCCTCCCTCAGAGACGTGGAGGTTTATTAGTTCTGTCCAAGCATCGCTTCCGCTGACCCACGCCTGTCCCTGGGGCCCTGCTGCGCTGCCCCCCACACCCTCGACAGCCCACCCCTGCCTTCCTTTCCATAGTTAGATGTCGTCCTGGAGACCAACCTGGCCACGATCCGTGTGTTGGAAAGTGTGCAGAAGAAGCTTTCCCGGATGGCGCCTGAGGACCAGGAGAAGTTCCGGCTGGATGACTGTCTGGGGGGCACGTCGGAGGTGATCCAGCGCCGTGCCATCCACCGTATTTATGGCGACAAGGCTCCAGAGATCATCGAGAGCCTCAAGAAGAACCCTGTCACTGCTGTCCCTGTCGTCCTGAAAAGGTGCCCTCCCGATTCTGGCTGTCCCGCCTGCTACAAGCAGGTTCCCTGGAGCCCATTAGTGCTCTTTGTCCCCGGTGTGATTGGGGGGGGGGGGAAGGGGGGTCGGGCCCCCCCAGGCTGGCTTACTGTGGTTTCCAGCCTTTTCTTCATTTCCCCGTTCTACTCTTGAGAGAAAAGCACAACTGGGAATAATTGTGTCCTTCTAGAACTTTCCACCATGCACATAATCATCAAAACGAGAAAAGGAGCTATTTTAAAGCACAAATAGGATTGTCCTATGGCAGGGCTTGTCTTTTACATAGTAGTACATTTTGGAAAACTTTCTGACCTGGTGAACAGGTATTAATTAAATGGCTGCCCTTGGCCAGATGCTGTGCTCAGCCCTGGGGTTGCAGAGCTGAGCGAGGCTGACAGAGCCCCTTCTCTTGGGGCTTGAAGTCAAGCAAGAGAGCCCAGTAGTTAACCTAGCAACTACCCAGAGTGTGGTCAGGGCCATGGGCCAGGACAGGGAGGAGGTGCTAGGGCAGCGATATTTCGAAAACCACAAAAGCAGCCACATTGCTTCTACAGAGCCCATGCTCTCCACCTTCCTCTTTTCTTCAGCACAGAACCCACTGCCCAGGCCAGGGGCTGGCTGTCCCGAGTTAGGAACGCACCCGGCTGGATCTGTGGGTGGCTGCCAGGCTGCCTGCGCAGGGGTGACGGGTGGGTGCCCCTGGTTGTCCCCATGCTGAGCTCCTCTGACCCCGCAGGCTGAAGGCCAAGGAGGAGGAGTGGCGGGAGGCCCAGCAGGGCTTCAACAAGATCTGGCGGGAGCAGTACGAGAAGGCATATCTCAAGTCCCTGGACCATCAGGCCGTGAACTTCAAACAGAACGACACCAAGGCCCTCCGCTCCAAGAGCTTGCTCAATGAGATCGAGAGCGTCTACGATGAGGTGAGGCCCTCTGCCCAGGTCTGAGCCAGCAAGTGGTCCTGGCCCTCTGCTCCCGGCCCTCCCGGTCTCAGGCAGGTGGCTGGGTCTCGGTGCCTCTGTTTCCCCAGCGTCACCCTGGCTTTGTAGGGCTGGAATGGATGCTTCTGTGGCACTCGGCCTAGAGCTAGTCGGGGGGGGAGGATTGTAGCGGTTCTGCCGTTGCTGGCAAAGGGCTCTCCCCTCCCCTCCTTCC